CTCTTTTAATCGTTCAGCATTTTAACTTTGGTCACAAACCAGAATTTTTTGTTCATCTTGGCTTACAAATTTTAATTCATTTGAAGATTCAGTGAGAACCAAGAATAGCTTTTTGAGTAAAATCACAAAAATCAAGAAGACTGGGTGCTGTACTCATAATCCTGGAGGAGGTGTGGGAAAATATAATGGAATGTGTTTGGATGAAATGTATGTACTGCACACAAAACAAAGATGGTTCTGATGTTAGTAAATTTAATAATCTGATTCTTAAATTCTACAGTTCTCTCATTGCCAAAGATATTGCTACCTTGGCATATTCAATATAGCACTAAAGCCATTAGCTAGGTGTCATTTGTAACAACCGTTCACTTCATAGGAATAGTTTGCATCAGAAGAGTAAACATGCTCCTTTTTATTTATTTATTTAAATTTCTTGTTTAGGATAATTGCAGGACTAAAGTTGCAAAATATCACTTCTTTCCAAGCATGGTAAGCGAAGAAGCCAGATCCTCTGTACTTGCATTGCATTTTTTGTTTTATATAAGATTGTTAAATATTTTATATTTTCCTTCAGTATTTTAAATGCTGTTTGTTTCTAGCGTATGGGCCTTAATCTCTTCGTTATTTTTTAGTTTGTTTTCTCACTGCACTCAGATAAACTTTGATGTGGAAAGCTTTTCTGTAGGTGATTCAGAGTGACAGATTATGACATGGGTGTTGTGTTAGTGCGTGAGTCTTATCAGTCTGTCAAAATTTGCATGTTGTGACCAGCTGAAGAGCCAAAACACTCACCTCTTGTGCAGTAGTGGCAAGTGATGGAGAGCTGTGAGCAACTCAGTTCTTCAGTAGTTCCTGAAAACAAGCAGTAAGTGGATTTTGCAAGACTGATATGTATGAGGATTTCCACATAGTCATTATGACATTTTATTTAAGATTAAACTCATCTTGGAACAACATTTTGAAACATAGCAGCTAGCTATTTCACTTAACTTGCCTAGTAAGTTTGGCAAGCGTCAGGGCCTGTGACGTTAAAATTTCAGAAGCAAGCTTTCTTAAGGGTACCTTACAGCTTCCAGAAATGGATTTAGTAAAAATCTGTCCCATATGATTTGTCTGTATTTAATGAAAAAAAAACCAAACTTTTTTTTCTGCCATTCTTGTATTTACTTTTCTCTGGTCTACCCTCTTCCCCTGATTTCTTCTTTTATTTTTTTTTTTTTTTTTCTTCCTCACTGTGTTTTTCGGATTTTACCAAAAGTAGTAGCCGAGGGACCAAATGACTTTAAAATGGGTCCAAAAGTTACCCCTCCTATCATAAAGAATTACTAAGCTAGTCCTGTGAGGAGCTGTTGATGGGAATAGATGTATAGTAAACTCTTGTGTCTGTACAGTAAAACCTTGCCCTGTATTTTAGCTTGTGCATGATAAGCAGTGATGAGATCAAGTTTTATTAACCAATTACTTGGTTGTGAGCTCCCAGTGTTTTACAGTTGATAAAATGTAGAGCAATTTAGAGTGGAATATCTTTGCATTCTGATAGAATTCCTTAAAGCAATTTAAATTTTGACACTTGACAAGATGCTTAATCACTCGTTAAAATGTGATACAGAATTCACACAGGTTTTTTGGTTTTAGAGGGTAAAATAGGGGGGATTTGTCATAGAAACCTCCTTACAAATTGCTAGGGGATCCTGCATGTTTGAGTCCTCATCCTCCCCAGAACTGATCACAAAGCATTAAAACCAGGCTGAATGAAGAAACCTTTTACCTTTTGTTCTAAAATAAGGATGACTTGGGAGTGACAGAAATACTGGCTATTGACACTGTTCTTTCTGTTTAGGCATTGATGTTGTTGTGCTAGACTTTCATGCCAATAGTTTATGAAAAACGCAAATAGTAAAGACTTTGTGGCTTCAAGTATACAGTAGATGTGAGTTAACAATCACTCAGGATAAACCAACATGTCAGAGTATTAATAGATTCCTAGTACTGGGGTGTGTCTGTGTGTTTCTGTGTGTCAGTGTTCAGTGATTCCTTTGAAAAAGACTTCTTACTGTTTTCTTGCAGGTAGTGAATACTTCTGGGTTGGATGTTGCGAGCTGGTTATTTACGGAAAAACACAGTATGATTAAACAGAATTGAGCCATTTAACATTTTTTTCCATATCAAAGATTCCAGGAGAAAGCTAGTAAAGATTTTTAATAATTAAATCAGATACTCTCAATAGGTTTTAGATTTACTATGGTAGCTTTTATTTGCTATAAAAAAAAAAAACAACAAAACAACCCAACAACTAAATTGAGGTACCCCATGCTGCATTTTTTTAAATTTGTAATTCCTGTACTTTGCAATGAACCTTTTGATCTGTTTTCATCCTTGTATGAATACAGGCTATGCTGTCAGTTTTACTAGCAAAAAGAGAACATTCTGCAAGGGTTAAAAGTTTATTTTCTTACTTTTTTCTGTCACACTAGGTTTGTTTCTCCAAACTAAGGTTTCTGAGGATTTTTACTACTTTAACATTATGTAATCTTATCTCTGTCGTAGAAGGAGTGTAAGCAGCAAGTAGCCCACTTCTTGTAGCAGGGAGGTGAGGCAAATAGCCATGGATTGGTGGTGGGAGCCCCTCTTTGCCAGGACAGCCCTGCGTGCTGGTACAACCCCCAAGATGTCTGAGATTCGGTACTGGTGAAGGACTAAACCAAACGGGTTTCTAATAAACCGTGACCTCTGCTGTATGCTGTCCTTTAACCTGAGACCAGGGAAAAATCTTCGTTCTTAGACCTGAAGATGGCACGTATCGAAGATCATGTTATTGGTGCATGTAGGCCATTATCTTAACTGTCTCACTGAGCTGGTTAATGCTGTTGACTTGTTGAAATGTGAAATGTAGTTACTATTGACTTTGTAAATACCTGCCAGAGATGAAATATAATTATTTTAAATCGTTGTAAATAGAGATGTATAAAACTTGACACAGTCTGCAATGCAGAAAAAAATTATATATATATAAATATATAAAGATGTTAAATAAATATTGTGCTGTTTCCGAATAGAAATAGTGACCTTGTGAATTGTGGGGTTTTTTAATTTGGTGGTTGGTTGGTTTTTATTTTGGGGTTGTTTGGGGGTTTTTTGCTTGTTTTTTTGTGCGTGGGTTGGGTTTGTTTTTTTTTTAATGTTTGTTTTTTTGGGGGTTGGTTTGTTTTTTGCTTGGTTGGTTTGGGGTTTGGTTTGGCTGAGGCTTAGGTTGATGGTGGTGTGGTGTGTAACGCAGGCCACATGCGCAGTTTAACAGCTCAGAGACACCACCCACCCCCCCCCCCCCCCCCGACGCCAGTGCACGGGCTGGGAGGCGGGAGGCAGCCGCTGGGGGCTGCGTGTGAGGAGTTAACTAGCCCCGGAGCGCTCATGGCAGCTGCTGTGGGGTGTCTGCGTCTAAAGCAGCGAGAGGCCGGGCCCGGACCGTCCGGGAGGCTTCACGTCGCTACGGCAACCCCTGCCGCCCGGCGGCGGCTGCGCGCATCGCTGGCAGCGGAAGTCCCGCCCTCTCTCCGCGCCCGCCGGCGGGCTGTGGCGGCAGAGAAGAAGGTCGCCCATTGGTGGAGGTTCAAAGGTCAGCTAAGGTGCGGAGGCGGTGCTCAGTGCCCGCCCCGCTCGCCCTCAGGGCGGCCGGTGTTTTCGCCCGTTGTCTGGCACGTGAGCCCGCTTCCGCCTCCTGCCGCCTCCGTCAGGGGGTGGCCGGGAGCCTGCGGGGAGGCGGTGGCACGGGGAGCGGGCCGGAGCCCGAGCCCCGGGCTCTCCGGAGGGCAGCGCGGTGAGGTGGGAGGGGGGCGGCTGGGGTGTGTTGGTTCTGACGGGCCTTGCGCCGCGCTACCGTGCTCGGTTGTGGCAGTCCCACCCCCCGGCGGCGGGGCTAGGTGGGCGCCACGTGACTGACCGCCATGAGGCGGCACCCTGGGAAGGGTCGCGTCGCCCTGGAGGTGAAGTTCGTGCCCGACGAGGAGGTGCTGAAACACATTGCTGACGACGCAGGTACGGCGCTGCCCGCTGCTCCTTGGACCCTGCGAGAGGAGTCCGAGCGGCCGCGGCTGCGAAGGGAGCCCTTCTCCAGTACGCGGGGTGGGTGAGCGCCTCTGGCGGGCTGCAAGGCAGGGTGAGGCCTTCAGCATCCTTCTCCTCCCACTGCCTTGTCTGCGGTTCATTTCTGTCCCCACTTGGAAAGGGGCATCTGCGGCAGCATGGCAAGTGTCTTCAGCTGGAGGTGGCGTAGATATTTGCTGTCGGTACTAGCGCCCCAACTCATTACACGTGTGTGTAATGACCTGGGAGAGGGGGTACAAACAGCCTGGCTAACTTCGCAACCCCTGAAGTGGTTAGACACAGAATAAAATAGGAATGAGGTTCGAGATAGTTGCTACAGGAGTCTTTTGCTGCAGTTTTGAGTACTTTTAAGGTTTTGGACCTCTGTGGAGATGCTTAAAATTGGTTGTGCAAGGCACAGGGCACCCATATCTTGAGTTTGCTGTTGGTCCTGCTTTGAACAGAAGGTCAGATAGATGGTCTCCAGAGGTCTCAGCCTAAGTTCTCACATGAGTGTACTGACAGCCTAGAGGCCAGTTCCTCACCACTTTTTCCCCTTTGCAAGGGAAGATGGGGGTGACAGATACCATCCCCTTTGCATGCACTTTGATACTTATATGTGTGAGTCCCTGTTATTTCTCTTCCAAACTATGGAAGCTGGGGTGTGTTGAAATGGGCATCTTGTCCGCATGGACTTGTAGGAGTGAGCTGCTGTGATAAAGGAGGGCCTGATGGCTGTAGAGCCAGCTGACCACAAGAGCACAGACTAGCTATTCTTTTACCAGGACATCTTTTCAGTGTTGTGTTTGTTTAGTGATTTGCAAAATAGGAACATGGTCTCTAAATGGGGTAACTGCATGCTATGGCAATAGAAGTAATAAAATATTAGGAGGTTAAAGCTTTTGTTGCAATCCTAGGCATTAAACTGCGGAAGGACAAGGCTCAGCCATCAGTCAGTGTGAAGAAATTTGTGAAGAAGCTTGAGAATATCTCAGATGATGAACCTCAGGAGATCCTAGAAGAGAAGGACTATGTTGCTGCTCTTGGAATATGTGCCCAAGGTATTAGGAGGGCAAACCTAACACAGCTGTGACTTTGGGAGATTCCTGTAGTGTCAGAGTTGCACAGTATTGATAAAATTGCCTTTGGGGCCTGTCCAGCTCTGTGCTTGTGGTAACAGGTAGAGGAGAGGATAGTGATTCTAGGATTTTGTTGTGCTATTGATTCATAACACCTGCAATATAAAGAGTCCTTTGAGCCAAATAGTAAAATGTTTCATTCCATCTTCTTGGGTTGGGAATACACCACTGCTTTTTAAATAGCTACAAGTAACATTTGTTTTCACAGATCCAGTAGGAAATGGCTCAAATGTAAGTGGTGGTGAGGTTTATTCCTTCAAGACTCCCAAACGCTCCAGCAGATTGGCAGAGCTGGGTATGTTTTCTTCTTCTTTCATTCTTGCTCTGGCTGTGATCTTTTTTTGTGTACTCTGTGATTTGTCTCTCCTGTTTATTCAAAATATATTGAAATACTTTGCACTATTTCAGTAGCTTTTATCTGGCTCTGAATCAGTCTTCCTCAGAAACAAAAGCACAGGGCTAAGGCAAAGCAATGGTCTGGTGAGGAAAACAGAAGGAAAAGTAGAAGCTTCTTAATGCCATCAGAATGGCATTTACATGCAGACTAAGGATGGCAGACATTTTATTTGTTTAACTTAGAGGGATATGAGAGTAACTCATCATGTAGCAAAGAGTCAAAAAAAATGGAGTATTAGTTTTGTGTGTCAGGGGATTTCTCCTACTCAGTGTCTGAGTGTGCTTGCTAGGCAAACTGTGGACTCAGGAGAAGCAAGTAAAAAGTGGCAATACAGAAAGGGTGAGCTGTTCTGTTTCAAAGAATATGCTTAAGCCCTGCTGCTGGTATGTTTCTTCTCACTTGAAGAGTCTGTGTGCCCAACGCCATCTGAACTTCATTAGTGTTTGGCTGTCACAGCTACTGATAGATCCCATGGAGGGTGATCCAAGGAAGAGAGAGGGGTCATCCATCTGTATCAGTGTGTAGAAAGTGGTGTCCGTAACTCCTTAGTTCTCTTCCCTTCTGCTGTGTCTTGGGAAGTTGTGTGTTTCTTACACCTCCTGCAGCAGGGTAGGTTTCACTGGTGCTCCGTCTTGGTGCCATGACTCAGTTTGGAAACTGAGGCAAGTCATACAATGGAAAGCTAGTTTTTTTGAGAGACTGGTAGCAGGATATGGGGGCCTTCCATTTCCAGATCAGTGATTCAAGTTCTGCTTTTGCTGTTAAGTAGTAAAAAGAGGCTGGTAGAATACAAGAACCCACATCCTAGGGAACTGATGTGTTTACTATACCTGATGCTTTACCAAGTCCAGTTCAGCAGTTCTAAAGGACTTAGTGAGCTTGACCTCATTGTTCTGATTCAAAGACTTGTGGTCTCCCAGGGAGTTAAGTGTACTTTGCCATTGCTGCAGCTATACTTTTAAAATTAATTAACTGAGGAGTTCAGTCTTTGAAAAACCTTTGTCAAGGATTACATGCACCATTAAGGTTAGAAAAAAAAAAAAGATGGAAGTATCTGGTGCACTTCCTGACATAGCTAAGAAATTAATACTTAGAGAGTGTTTCAGGTATATGGCTGGCCTGTATTCATGGCTGACTAGCCAGAGCTGGGAGTTTTGTACCTGATATGAAACTTCTTCCCTTCCCCCTATTTCCTACAGCCTCTGAATTAGCCCAGACACCGGGACAGAGTGTTGCACCTGATCACTCCAAGTGCCCTGATAAGACAGCCAAAGCCCCTCAAAACACCCGTAAGTTCTGTGATGCTTTGCGGAACTGAAGCTGAGCAGATGGGGGTTATGTTTCTGTTTGGGTAGTAGAGTGGATGCTTGAGTGCCAGCTTCTGTCATGCTTGAGTATTCTACTCAGCTCACCATAGTAGACTGAACTGTTCAGTATGCATGGCCTTGGGCTCACCTGGGTGTCAAATCTTTTATTCTATCTTGGTGGTGTTGAGAAAACAGGAACTCTTCTGTTGCTGTGACACTTAATGATTTCCTCTGTGTTCAACGGAAATGCTTGCAGTTAAGAGAGTTATGAGCTGGGCTGAGGTGTTGAGCACAAAAATGGTAGGATTGTGTGGGTGTTCATGTGTAAATTCATGTTTTATTATATAATATTCAAGCACCCAATGCTGCAGGGAGAAATACAGGTAGGAAAAGTCAGTGCAGGTCAGCCGGCAAGAGCGTATTACTTTGTGCTCAGAAATTGAGTCTGATGTGCTCAGGGAAAGGACATTAGCTCATTTTTCAGCCTCTTCCCTCCTGCTGATGGCTTCCCAAAGTTCTGACCAGAATTAAAAGCTGCCTTTTGTGGTAATAACATTGACTGTCTTTGTTCTGTCTTTGCCTACCTGTGAGGAACTAGAAGCTTCCCTCACAGGATTCACCACCCATGAAGCTGATATTCTGGCACAGTGTATCTTTGAATAGTGAATGTCTGTTTTTCTAATGGACCATTTTGTGCCACTGTTGAAAATACCCAGTATTCTGAACAATGCTGTTTCTTCCTTTGCAGAACGCTCAAGCAGAGTGCAGCAGAGGGTGAGTTATGACTCTGCCTTTCTTGGGGGATTTTTGTTTTTATTTTGGCTTTTTGTGTTGTGTTGGTTTGGTTTTTGGTTGTTTGGGTTGATTTGTTTTGGGAGTTTTTTGGGGTTGTGGTTTTTTGTTTTTATATATTTTACAACTTGAACTGGCCAATTACTACAGTTCTGGAAAGGAAGGACAGTACAAATTTCTCTCCTAATCCATCTGGACAGGAGAAATCAAGTGAGAACCAGAGCTACCATTATTCGGGATTATGGGATTTAGAGTCAGTGGGTGAATAGCGGGTTTGATTAGCATGGGTGGAGACAACTTCCTTGTACCACACAAATGAGGATGTTAGACAACCACTTAAACTCTTAGCTTTCCAATTTTTCATCAAACGAAGAAACAGCCTTAATTATAAGGAATAGCATTAGAACAGGAATTCAGGAACTGTGGTGTTGCTGAGTTTCTTTAGCATTGTTTTATAAAAAATAAGTTGTGATAATGAGGGGAGATGTAAGTTGATGTTGTCTTTTGTGATGCTACAGAGAGATACAGTCCAGAATTGCCAGTTGTGGTGGTTATGAGGAGGGTGCTGTGAAACACTTGGCTTTCTAAAATGGTATAGCATCATACTAGAAATGTGTGCACAGCTTTTTCTGGTATAAAGTTCCAGGATGAGATAGGCCTGTAAGAGATGCTGTTTTGGTATGGCATTCATTCCTTGATGATTCGATATCTACCTTGATAAGTTTAACAAAAATGTTTCCTAAGTATTGCAGACTTGATCTGGTGCCTGAGTTAGACATATGCTTTAAACTTATGTAAGGAAGATGTGCCACTACAACTTGATGAACCCAGGCAGCTTGGGTTCCCTTTGCTGTGCTTCTGGGCTTAGTATTCTAAGTGGTCTTCTGTCATTCTCGTAGTTGTTTTCATAGTGGACTTCCCAATGACTTTGAGTAGACAGTGTGCCCTCCTCTAACTCTGAATGGCAAAAACAAAAGAACTCTCCATACTTACTGCCTCTGCTTTCCCAGTTTATTGTGGACTGAAATAGCTTGGAAATATAGCCAGCTTCTACTCCTTGCTTGGCAGAGGGCTGTTTTGAGGAGGTATATGTTTCTTCTTCTAATGAATGTTTTTTCTTTGCTGTTACAGAATAAAAAGAAAGAATTTGTGTCTACCACACCTTATAGACTCAGGAAGAGGCTAACAGGTAAAGAGCAACCTTTGCAGTCAGTCCCATAACCGGTGAGGCACTGTGTTCATAGGATAGTGTTTCTCCTGTTGTAAAAATCTGATTCATCCTGCAGAGAGTGTAGAAATGTCCTTAAGGAAATCTGTGTAGACCTTTTTCCTACCACAGATTGCTGCTTAGGTAACGGGTGGGAGGATTAGAAGCACCAAATCACTGAACTTCAGTAACATGATCAAAAGAGACAAAATTCTCAGTAACTAACCTGTGCTGACACTTGCCCAATTGGTTGGTTAATGCAGTTGTCTGGCAATTGCTTGAACCAAGTTATAAAACTTTTTTATGATGGCTGGAACATTCATGGTAAAGTATTTTGCATATGTGGTTGGTTATATATGCTCAGAATGAATGTAGAGAAGAGTTTAGTGTGGGGTGTTTCTAGTTCTTTTGTGTTGAGAGACCGAGACTGAGCCAGATTCTGCCTGTGCTCTTCAATCAACACTGCTAACAGAGCTCTTTTACAAAACCTTTTTTGCACTCAGCTTGCATGGTTGGCATTTGGGAAAACTGACATGAGATGCTAAGAGAAACAGGGACTCCCACTGTCCGTTTTTAGTAACTTTTTATGGTAGGGTTATGTTTCTTAATGGGTATCAAGGAGCAAGGTTTACTAAACAATAAATTGTAAGCCTAGAACTGGGAAAGAAATGACTGTGTATGTTTGCAGTCTTCTTAAGCATTTATTTTAATTTTCTGTGAAATATATTTAAGCATCATATGCTTGAAAAACATCTAGAGAATGTGTGTGAATGAGAAAGGTGGTGCAAAATGTGTTCTGTCTAAGAAGTCGTTGCTAGCTTTTAACTGTAAATTTATGCTCTAGCTCCAGTTCCCTATTTAGAAAGTGAGAGTGAATATTCTTCTTCCTGCTCAGAGGAGGAGGATGAAGAAGACCAAAAAGAAGACAACACTGTTTCATCAGGTCAAAAGACCCCAGAAAAAATGAAGGCAGCATCTACGCCTCCTCCCAGCAACACCCTAGCCAAAAAAAATAAGGAGAACAAGATGGTAAGTATACAGAAAATACACCCCTAAGCCAGCAAACATGAGGGAATGTTTAGTGACAATAAGATGTGGGTGACCACACCTAACTAGGGAGGAACTGCTAGATTCATTTCAAATGTAACCAGCTGGACTGGCTTTTGCTGTACTTCTGAGCAATGCCTGTTGGACAGGCATCATGAGAGCCTGTGGGCTAGTCTGGTCTCTATCCTTAATAGCTCCAGAAGGAGAAGTTCTAAGATGTCCACAAAGCAGGAGACCCTGTACTGAGAAATGATGAAAAAGGTGACTCCTATAGCACCAAAAGAAACACATACTACTTTCTGGCTTAGTGTTACGTTCTCTCAGAATCTCCTCTGTGTCTTCAGAAAGAACCACCTGACTGTTGGCTTTGGCAGAATGCCACTGTAGAAACCATTTTTGCAAATATCTGCTGGCTTTCTATTCATCCTTGATCGATGTCTCATATTGGCCATCTTCAAACGTGTTTGTGGGTGCAAAGGGAGAGGGGTAACTTGATAGCAGAAGGAGTGTGGCTGATCTTGCCATCCCTTTTTAGAGCAACCTGGTGGAGGAATACTTTGAAGCTCACAGTAGTTCCAAAGTGCTCACTTCAGACCGAACGCTGCAGAAGTTGCGGAGAAGAAAATTGAGTCAGGTACACTTTATAATGAATCTCACAACTCTTGGAGCTTCTGCTTTCTTTGAATATTTCCCTCATCCAAATTTCCTAATATTGCTGTTTTCACTTTATTTCTGCTGATTACATTGTTGGTGGTAACACTGATTTAGGTAGCATTTTAAACATTATTTCTCCTCTGCTGCTCTGAGCAGGGACAGGGCCCAGTTGTTTCAACCTGAGACACTATTGAAATGCACTTGCAAAGTGAGCAGATAGTTGAAAGCTGCAGTTACTGGCTGGGCTTATACCACAACACCAGAGCAAGTTAAAATTTGTTTTTGAGGAGGAGAAGAGGGAGAAGCAAAGTGGCAGAGGCCTGCACTAAAAATTGTCGCCATTAACAAAAGCATTTTTGTTAGTGAAGTGCTTAGGGAAATTACAAGCTGTATTGACTGTTGACGTGTAGAGGAAATGGAGAGAGCGCTTTTTATCTGAGCATTATTGAGTCAAGCCACATGCAGGACTAGGAGAGTTCTAAATGTCACCTAGTTTGTGAAATGCATTCTGTCTCCTTCCGATTTCTAGAAGACAGGAATGGTCTAATTGTGGTAATTGAATTACTGTATTATTTTTCATATGCAGCTTTTACAAGACAGTTCAAAGTAAGCAGCTGTACCCTACAGAGATAGGTACACAAGAACAGGTGCCGGGGAAGTACGTAAAATACTTGGAGCTCTGGTGTCTGTGACTGCTTTTTGCATCCATCTGTGTTTTAAAAGGTGGCATATATGCAGGTTGCCTGATGTCTCTTGTCTGGAACTGCTATCCAGAGAAACATCTGGATTCTTTTGTAACAGCCTTGGAAGGAAATCAAGTATTAAATCTGCTGTCTCTGAAGAAATTGAAAGCTTTGCAGTTCTGTCAGTGCTATGTTTGTCTGATACATTGCAGCTGTCTTTGTGTTCTTTCCAGAGTAAACTATCTTCTACTGAAAGAGAGTGGAAAGCAAAACTGTTAAAAATGAAGAGGAAGGGAGGCCAGTGTAGATTTAATGTCATTTGTCATGCTACTATGCTGTTGAAACATCAACATCCCAGCATACCTTTAAAGCTGAATTAATCCTTTGATTCTTTATGTTTTTGAAATAATACTTTTTCTACGATTGGCTGTCAGTTGCAAATGATTTCTTTTCTTTCTTTATTTTTTAAGATGACGTTTGTGAGCATTCTCTTGTAGGGACAAACACCTGAACCATTGCTAAGCATGTTGATTGGAGCCCTTGCTCCTGTGAGCAGGGTTGTGATGTTGGTATCTTCCTGGTACAGCACTGGGTTCTGTGTAAGCTCTGAGTATTGTCCATTATTTCAGTAGTGGTTTTCCCATACTCAGTAGGAAGAGCTAAAACACAGTTTGATACCAGTTCTAGTCCTAGCCTGGCTGCTGTTTCCCATTAAACAACTTTGTTATCTGCTTTGTTTCTCCAGTAGCAAAACTGTGCTTAGAGGGGTCTTCATGGGTGGAAAAAAAAAAATTCCAAACCAGCATGGATTGAGTGCACTGTCAATGAACAATATTCTGCTTCCTAGCTAGAGAGCATAGTAGATGGGTATTTGTAAGGAGCCCAGGTTCATGTCTTGTGTTTTCTCCACTTTAACTGACTGTCATCTTACCTCTTTCATAACACAGCAAACACTGCATGACCTTTTGAAGAAAGCTCCCCTTGCCTATGCTGCTGAAATCGAAGAGCTAAACCAGCTACATGAATCCCTGTTTTCCAAGTGGATGCTGCAATTACAGTAAGTATCCAATGCAAATCACTGAAGAAGCCTCATAAAAAGGCACTACCAGTAAACTTACACTCATGTCAGCAGCATTCTGTGGATGAGTTGTGGTGCAACTCTTTCTTTGATTGATTGCTTGAAATTAAAATTAGGTGACATCAATTTAGTAGAGTGTTTCCTATAAACCAAATCATACCTGACTAACTCCTCATGTCTGAAGTGACGTGAGGTTGCTTTCTGTCTGGCTGGTTGGCCTGTGCCTCTGTAAACCAAGATAAGCGGGTGTTCACAAACAGGGAACATGAATAAAGAGTAAATGGGGAACATGACTAATGCAACTAGTGTCCTTTGTAAACAGTTTTGCTTACAGCAGTGTCATCAGTTTCTTCAGTGTGTGGCTATCCCCAGTGGTGTAGCAGTTACCTTTGAATGCCTACAATACCTAAGGATCTAGGCATGAAGAAACCTTAGCAGTATAATTTTTATCTGGCTTTGTGTGTATCTTTGTGGGAAGGAGAAAAGACCAAGCATCCAGGAAAGTGAATGGGAACTGTAGAGATCTGTCAGATGCTGGAGCACCTTTGAGAAGGCAGGCCACCAAATCTGAAGTTCTGAGTCACGAGCAGATGTTGGTGAGGAGAGAAAGCCTCTTTGAAGCTTTGCAGGAGAGTGGATGGAACATAAAGAAATTTGTGGTCCATGGGGAGTAACAGAGCATATGAAAAACAAATTAGCTTTGAAAGTTGGAGAGTTGCAAGAGGAGGAGTTCTCTGGCTTGGTGATCTGGACAAATGGTTAGAGATGTATGTGGCAGGGCAGGAGGAACAAATCCATAGATGATACTGAAGTCAGTAACAGTTGTTGAACACATTACCTTTGCCCAGTGGTGTTTGAGTGACCTGATACACTTCTTTTTGGTCCTGATACTCTTCTTTCTGATTTATGACAGATTGATATTATTGAGATGATAGATTTCCTGCTTCTCAAAAATAAACAAAGCTTTGTGATTCCCTAGCATATTCTCTTTATGCTTACCTGCCTTTTTCTCTGTGGAACAATTACGATCAGAAAGAGATACGAGAACTGTTTAATTTTGCTTTGAAATTGTGCTTGTGGATGAGAGTAGAAAACCCCTGTGAAGACTTGCTTATCTTCTAGTAATTTCTGTGACTCATGGTAAGCATTGAATATAATCACTGGGGAGGGGTGAATGAAGGCAAGCCTGGAGCTGTGTCCTGGTTTCTGCTGGAGGAAAGATAATTTTCTTTCTAGTAGCTGGTGCTATGTTTTAATTTTAATATGAGAGTAATGCTGATTAGCGTAACGCCAGTGTTTTACTTGTTGCTAAGTAGTGCTTACCCTGCTCAAGGACTTTTCAGTCTCTCATGCTCTGCCAGTGAGCAAACTGGCCAAAAGGATATTCCATACCGTAGAATGTCATGCTCAATATATAAGCTGGGGAGAGTTGGCCAGGGAGGGCCATTTGCTCCTCGGGGACTGGCTAGGCATTGGTTGGTGGGTGGTGAGCAATTGTATTGTGCATCACTTGGGGTTTACTTGTTTTATTCTCCTCTCTCTTGATTTTTTTATTGTTATTATTATATTTTACTTTATTTCAATTATTAAACTGTTCTTACCTCAGCCCATGGGGTGTTAACTTTTTCTCCAGTTCTCCTCCCCATCCCATGGCAGGGGGTGTGAGTGAATGGCTGCTTTGTACTCATTTGCTAGCTGAGGTTAAACCATGACAAGTTGATGAAATACGAAATTTTGAGAGGCAAGACTGCAGTGGATTATTTTGCTTAATGAATGTATGAACCTAAAGAGGGACTTGTACTTTTTTGATTCAGTGTATTTGCTCACATTTCTTCAGCTTGGGTTTCAATATTGTGCTTTATGGACTGGGCTCCAAGCGTGATTTGTTAGAGAAGTTTCGTACCTCCCTGCTCCAGGATTCTGTTCACCTTGTGGTTAATGGATACTTTCCCAGCATCACTGTGAGATCTGTAAGTGTGTGAAAAGTGTATGGGTTTATCTGATCATCCTGTGTTACAAATACCTCTGAACTCCTCCAATGTAAAATGTTAAGGAAACCTGCTGCATCCTATAACAGCAGACTCTTGCATAAAGAACAGTTCCTCTCTCTCTTTTGAGAGTTTAAAGAAATTGGCCCATCCATTTTCCAAGGAACTGCATTAACTCCCATCATTAATAGATGGGACTAACAAGATACTCATTAATAAATATTTATTAGTCTAAAGCCTTACTTTATGTCACTGTTTTGAAAATGGGTAGAAATTTTTGGTATATATTGACTGTTTGGGGGATTTGATGGCAAAAATCCAGTTACCTCCCTCCATGACAGTCAGGGGCTCAGTTTCAGATTTTCTGCACAAGGTCCTTCGGTGCCAGAGCCCTTCAGAACGGACTGTTGTTTTCTTTTTCAGATTCTCAACTCCATCACAGAGGAGGTACTGGACCATACAGGGACATTCCGCAGCCCCCTTGACCAACTTGACTTCATCATTGAAAGGTTTAAAGAAGGTAAAGCAACTAACCTTATACGTAAAAATGTTAGAGTCCACTTACTGTTAGGAGGACCTGGATATATTCAGGAAGAATATTTTTCATGCGTGCAGTCAGTTTCTTATAGCTAGTATATATTTTTGCTTGTAATTTCTGCCACGTACATGAAAACACATATGCACCAGGAATATAAGTGTACATGATCCCAAGCATTACCTTATCCAGCGTTTCACACATTAAGTTCTCTAGAAGGGGAAGGAGAAAGGCACAAGTATTCCAACAAGACAGAGGCTCCTCAACCCTATGGAGGAGCCATAAATGATAATAATAAACTGAAATTATCACCTCCCTTGCATTTAGCATGGTGCATTTTTGCCTTATTTACATAATGCTTCTGTAGCCATGTGTTTGCTGGTGCAAGACAGGATAGGTGAACTCCAGCTACATGAGGAAAGATGGTTCGTAGTGGCTGCTTGAGGACCTGATACAAATCTTGCTGAAATCAACAGAACAAAGAACTTGCAGTTTGCAGTGACTGTTGCTGACCGATATCAAGTCCTTTGAGCTCCTCTGGAAAAACATGGCCTGAGGGTCTTCCCATAGATTTCAATATAGGCTGGATTAAGGCTTTAATGTGCATGGTTTATTCATTTAAATTTAATGTATGCAAATACTGGCATTAAGATGAAATAAAGGTCAGAAGTGTTGTACAAACATTGAGTTCAAAAGCCAGATGAAACTGGTATTGCCACGCAGAATGCTTGCCGAATTGTTTTTGAATGTCTGTTTCACTGCTTATGCATACATACAGAAATTGCTAGGGGATCTGAATTGTGCATGTTGTGGGTGTTTTAAGTATTTACATTCTGATTTCCATCATTACCTTATGAGCATTTCAGGTGGGACTAAGTGAAAAAGACTGGTTGATGGCGGTACCCACCTGAATCTACATAAATCAGTCTTGTGTAGTACACTATAGCTGATCTGACTGGGAGTCTGAGGAACTTTCAGCTTCCATTGGCAGCTGAGTTATGTATTCATTTGCATAAAAGCTGTCTACTGTTCCAGAATTGTTTCTGGACTCAGAAAACAGCTGTTCCCAGGGATAAGTACCACAGCAACAAGCAAGCTGGAAATTTTAACTTCTACCATTTGCATTATCTAAGCTAAGTCTTTGTAACTTCCTTTGAGGACTTAGGGGGCAAGATTTCCAATGAAGTTTATATGCTTTGGATCCAAGCCTAATTAGAAAATGCATTTGCATTGTGTGAGGAGGATCGTAAAGGTCCCAGTCGTGTAACTCAAAAGGAGTTGAACAAACTCTGCTTAGACTTCCATCCAAAAATACATTTGAATGACCTTGAATTGCAGGACTAAAAGTCATAGCTAAAAGGACAATTTCTGGTAAAAGCCACAAGCAAGTGGAAAGTGGATTTTGCAGTTTAGGCTTAAAGAGAAGAGCTTAAACTGAAAAAAGAAAGGTAGGTGTGATAAAAACTGTGATACACTGAACTGAGAAATTTTAAGTGCTCAGAAACATCAAGTGTGGGATAGAGATCAAAGCAAGCTGTACAAGGAAAGTGATTTAATATTGGAGTGATGAATATGGAGCCTGATGGAATAGACTATCCTAGGCTGTACTGCAAATAGGAAACCACTTAGTGTGCAATTTCTTTTATTGGTTCTCTGCTGGTTTTTCTGATCTTGCAGATTCATCTTTAGAGCTCTATGTCCTCATTCATAACCTGGACAGCCAGATGTTGAGAGGAGAAAGAAGTCAGCAGATCCTTGCACAGTTATCCTCTTTGCCTAGCATTTACCTCATGGCCTCTGTTGATCACATCAATGCTCCTCTCAGTAAGTCCCCTTGGGCCTGATGTAGCGAAGAGAGAAGAATCTGTGTTTATGCAGCTGCCAAGCCTGTTTCATAAGCTCATGTATTACTGTTGATGTGTAAAATGATCTCGTGGTGTATGTTTGTGTGGTGGTAGCAGCTAGAAGACCCAATTGGAACTGTGGCTGTATTGAATCAAAACTGTAGAAAGATACTAAGAATTACCAATCACTGTTCATAATATACAAACAGACTTCAAGCTTCTGGTACCCTCTGATTTAGGGACTTACTGAAATGGAGATGAGATGTTATGTCCATCATTTCATCTGAACAATTTTGTTTGTCAGCCAGAAACTCTTTGCACACTGCTGACTCTGGAAGGATTGACAATACATCATAGCATGTATGAATGTATGTATGTAGAATGTATGATGATAGAATGTATAGTACAGTCATAATTCTAAATTCTAACCAAACAGACTGGTTTGGGTTGAAAAGGACCTTGAAGATCATCCAGTTCCAAGCCCCCTGCCATAGGCAGGGACACCTTCCACTAGACCAGGTCACTTAAAGCCCTGTCCAGCCTGGCCTTGAACACTGCCAGGGATGGGGCAGCCATAGCTTCCCTGTGCAACCTGTGCCAGCGCCTCAGCACCCTCACAGTAAAGTATTTCCTAATACCTAATCTAAATCTCCCCTCTGTCAGTTTAAAGCCATTACGCCATGTACTGTCACTACATGCCCTTGTAAAAAGTCCCTCTCCAGGTTTCTTGTAGGCCCCTTTTACATACTGCAAGGCTGCTATAAGGTGTCCTTGGAGCCCAGCTCTCTCAGCCTGTCTTCATAGGAGAGGTGCTCCAGCCCTTTGATCATCTTGAAGCTGGCATGAAAAAGGGATGTATACAGATGTTTGGTTGCAGAGAATTTTTCTTGCATGAACTGCTAGTATCTGGGTGTATGTACAGTGAATTTCAGAAGGATACATTGTTTTCTTAATCCTACAGTAGAACTTGCTTATTTAACATCTTAGAAAAGCTAAATCTCTGAATTCAGTCTGCTCTTTTTTTTTTCTGTCTAGTGTGGGATCAGGCAAAACTAAGCCTCTACAACTGGCTTTGGTATGAGACAACAACATTTAGTCCATATGTGGAAGAAACATCTTATGAGAACTCTCTTTTAGTACAGCAATCTGGATCTTTGGCTTTGAGCTCCTTAACACATGTCCTGCGCAGTCTCACTCTCAATGCCAGGTAAGACACTGTTACACTTCAGGGTAGCACTTGCTGAGGATCCAGTCCTTGCTAGGTTACGCTGATCTGTAATTGCCAGGAGGCAGTCCCTGTTTTCTGACAGCAGTGTTCAAGATGAAGATGGTAGGACTGAGTTCTAATTGATTGGTTATTTTAAATGAACAGTATTTGGATAGCAAATAGTGTCAGGATCCATAACCAGGACTTTGTACTTGAGGGAAAAATAAGTTAGTATTTTCTGTTGAGGGTGTGGGAGAGTTGTGCTTGTTGATTTTGTTTGGGTTTGGTTTTTGGGTTCAGTTTTTTTTCCTTTTGATTTTCCCCTTCTTTCTCTTAGGGGGATATTCAGATTGCTTGCTCAGTACCAGCTGGAGAACAAAGACAACCCATCTTATCCAGGTATGTACTCACCTTTTCTTATCTGTTCGGATGTTGCCATTGTCAGCTCAGTCATAGCAGCACTGGCTTTTGATATGCATTGTATGTCACCAACAACAGAAATGCTGTAACTGCTGACTCGGTGAGACATAGTGGCATAGACTCTTTCTAGTCGTCCTGTGTCTGAATGACAGGAAATCAGTAGACTGGCTGGTTCTGGAGGACCTCCTCTTACTGGTGTCTGCTTTGATGTTTAGACATGAACGAGACAATTCATGGGGGACTGTGAAGTTAAAGCATTAAAATAAAGGAAGAAAATGAATTTGCCTAACTAGCACATAAAAGACCAGGGAAAGGCAGGAGATTCTGTTCAGGTGCTGCTATATGAGTTCTCATGTGTCCCTGCTTTCTAGGTACACGTGGAATATTCTGTCACTGTCTCTAAGAGGTGCTGCAGGGGATATGAATAACATGTTAATAGTAAAGAAAGTTGGAAGTTAGATAGAAGAGCTGGAAATTAAGAGAGATTAACCTTGTTGGGAAGTGCATTTAAAGTGCTACTAAAATGCCATTAGGCAAACGGGGTGACTGAAATGTTAATTCATCTGTTTTCCATTGATTACTAAAATATTAGGTTGACTGTGTACTTGAAAGAAGTGATGTTACTGTAGCCAGTGCAGTCTAAGCCAACGGAAGATTTGTAGGAGGAAACTATATATTGTTACACAAAAAATCTGTGAATCTTACCACTTCGGTTTCTTGTTCTTGCCTTTTTATATCTCCAGGACTGTCTTTCCAAGACTTCTATCAGCAGTGTCGGGAGGCTTTCCTTGTGAACAGTGACCTGACACTCAGGGCACAGCTGACAGAATTCAGGGACCACAAACTCATCCGGACCAAGCGGGTGAGTTGGGGGAAAAAAGATAATTCTGGATATTCTGTCACCTTAAACAAAAAGAAAAGGTGCTTACTTGCTACCAAGTATCCCTAAGGCACCACTCTGCAGCTTGCAGTGAGGCTGTGCTGTTTGAAGCATCTAGTAACCAATAAAGGGCTGACATTCTGTAATGCAGCACTTTCCATGTCTCCAGTTCGTCAACATCCTTTACATGGATAGGGAGCTGTAAAAATACAGCATGCTTTGGTTACTCAGCAACCTACAGGTCTCTTCTTCCTGAAAACCTTGAGAAGTAATAGACTCTGGAGCCTGATAATCTGCTTCCAATAGTTAACCTGTATTTGCATGAGAGAAGAAAGCAAGCTAGTCCTAATAATGAGGCAGTATAGTAGTTCTAGACATGGGGACACAGTGTTGAGGAGCTGTGTAGTGTCAGACTAGCATAGCCCACCAGAAGATTTCTTATATACTGACTTTTGTCAGTATTTGCTCATTTCCAATGTTGCTCGAGTGAAGTATTCCTGGTTTTTAGCAATGTCGTCCTCCTGAGTGCTGGCCAGCTCTCACCTAGACTGCAAATAAGCATTGGCACTGCAGTGCTGTCCAGTGGCTTGCATTGCATTGTGCACTGGTGTTAACAGAATGTATATGTCTATTCTCAGGGAGCTGATGGTGTGGAATACTTACTTATTCCTGTAGATGACAGTACCTTGACTGACTTCTTGGAGAAAGAGGATGAAGATGTGTAATGTCTCTCTGTTCTCAAAGCATCTATGGCAATTGCTCTCGAGGGCTGCTGGAGAGGGGCCTATGCTCAGATCTCTCTCCCTCCAACCCCAAGGCTGCTGGGCTACTTACTGAAATGTAATAATTGTAATGAATGATGCTCATTGTTATACTACTTCAGGTAGTTTGAAATGTTGACTTTTGTAAGCAAGGCATCTCTTGCTCTGTAGTTAGATTTGTCTGGGTTGTCTCTTAGTTCAGATGATGCCTTCTTCATATCTATGCAGCCACCCTTACAGCCAGAAAAACAAACTTGGTAAGATTGTGCCTTCTGCTCTTACCTCACCAGCCATGAGGATTTGATTGGAGCAGTTTACTTGGGAAGTGCAAATCTCTAGAAGGTCAGAGCTTTAGTTTGTAACAGTGGTGCAACTTTTCTCAACTGAGTGCTTTCCAGTACTCCTTTACCAGTTGGATAAGACTAGTTTCCAGTGTATGAAGAAGCCAAGATTTATAATGCTAAGAGATCCTGCCTTGATTGCATGAGAGACTAGTGGGATTGGGACACACTGTGAGTAACTTACTGAATTCTGGCAACAGAACTGAAGGACTTGCCCCAAACCCAAGATAGTCAAAACTGTCATGGACTTGAGTCATTGCCTCTTGGGGAGGGTGAGAGGATCCAGCTTCTTTCGTCTGCTTTCCAAGTTTAAATCCAGGAATAGGAAGAGGCTATGAAGTTTTTCTGTTGATTTTTTTTTAAAAAGCTTGATTGTATATATATATTTTTTTTTATATCAGGAGAGTCTTCTGATCCTGGAGGAGGCCTTAAGTGCCACTTATAAACTCCCTTTTTTTAAGCCCTCAGAGGCTGGGAGACTGCTGAAGTTTGACAGCTTTCCTTCGCTTTTTTTCTCAGGTATGTGGGAGTAAGCCCTATAGTTCCATCAGCTGAAGTCTGCCAGCCAGACTTCAGGGACTTTGTATGTCTCATATTTGGTAGCTGTGTTACAGCTCAGTGTTGTAATAGTTCAATCAAATAAAGTACTTTACTAATTTTCCTTAGCTTGTCTTGTCTTCCACAATCTTTTTATGTTATAGGAAGACAGCAATACTTGTAGCAGTTGTGTGAAAGCCTTATTTGCATTATTATGTCAAATACCTCTTCCAATCCTTATGCAGAATTCAAGCCAATCAGTAAAAATTTTTGGTTTTTATAAGGTATCAAAATTAAAAGTAATTTAATTACCTTTTAAAACCAGTATATAGCTTTTGAAAAGAACCAAAACGTGTGTTCTATGATTCTATCATATGGAGTAACATTGTTATCTGGTCTACCCCTCACCGACAGAAGCAACAGGTTTTACAGCCTGACTTTTGCGTGTATTGAAAACAGGGTATCTCCTTATCCGACTGAAAATTTGATTCTTCAAACATATGACCTAATTAGCTTTGTTGGAGAGTCTGATGGCGAAAACTGGCACATGCCAGCAGTACTATCTGGCTTCCTCCCCTAGAGCATTTTCCAATGGATGTTCTCTTCTGGTCGCACTTGCATTTGCATTTTACAGGCTGCAATTCCAAAACTTTGCAAAATGCATCAGATCCTGCCTGTCACTACATACGCCACCATCAGAATCACTACAACTGGGATCAAAACACGTCTTACCTGATGTCTGAGACTAAATGTACAGTTCAAGAACAAGAACTCTGCCACTTGAAGAGATGTGTTCTTGGGGAGGGGGGACAGGGACACAACGGGGAAACCATGCAGTCCTTTGACTCCACAGTTCCTGTGAAACTCAATGAGTACATATGGAAGATGCCACCTGATGTGTTTGCAGATAGCAATACTGTGGTGCATTTTCAGTGCAATTATGTCTGGTTTTCTAGATGTGAAATTTACTTTAATGAAACACTAAATCATCCTGAATTCAGAGTTCCCTGCTAGCAGTTTTGGTAGACTACCAGGTGTCCATGAAGCCCTCCTTTTGGCCTGTAAGAGATACCACACATCTGCTAAGAGAAGATGGAATTTCAATTGTTTTTTTTTTGGCTGCTGATTCTATGTCACAAACATGCAGGCTAAAGAAAATTACTGTGAATTAATTCCTGTGGGCTTTGTGTTCCAAAGTATTTTATCCTGATTTCATCATGTTTCTGGGCAATTGCCCCATCTATGTATTAATTTTTGGTCTCAAATTTTGTGTATGTATTAAGGTAATAGCATTTGAATGTCCTCTGTAACAATACAGAACTGTTGGATTTGGAGGGATCATTGCTACAGTCCTTTACTTGGGAAAGAAAAAATTTCTTTACACTTCCTCAACTTAGTGAGAGTTTTGCCTACTATTGATAAGAATAATGGCCTTTATATAGCCTCAGTAGCTTCAGATCATACTGGAGTCATCTTTTTCCCACTTACACTTTAGACAAAGTTACACAAAATTAGGCAGTAAAGATGCAGCTTGATGAGCCAGTTTTATTAACCAGAAAATGGTACCAAGATCTTTACAAACTTGCAATGGAAATATTTTCATTTTGTTTAAATACTCCTGTGGTAAGCACATAATCCAGAGATGGTAAGGTATGTACTTGGGAGACTTTTTTTCTTAGAAGAACCCAAACAAATACACCACAATAAGAAGCCCAACTTACAAAATTACAACCAAGCTTACAACCAGTGGTGAAAACGCTACTTGTTCAGTTTTAGTAATACTGTAATTAAGAGCCATAGTTATAGAAACTGTTTTAAAAAGAAAGTAACAAAAGCACATTCAGTTCATTTACATCTTTGTTAAGGAATTGAGTTTTAACCTTGCAAAGTTTTTCAATTGAGAGTCCCTCTATTAAAAAGCCTTAAATCTGCATTTACGGTAGACTGTGCAATTGAATACTAGTACCAAATACCCAAATTGTGTTCTATATTTGTATGTGACTGGTGCCTGCCTTCAAAAAACTGCTAATGCAAATGGGTGATCCGTACCCTTTCATTAATTACTATCAGATTTATTAGCTAAAATATTAGTGACTAGTACTGACATGATCTGACATAACTGCAGTAGGGTAGAACTTGTAGTGTAAGCTTAAAACTGGAGACAAGTCAGGTTTTTATATTTCACCCAAACCAATCCTTGAGTATCTTGTTATAGACTATGCAGTAACAGTAAATTTATTTAAGTGCAGCCCACTAATTAAGCCCAGTAATTAAAATCAGCCTTCTGTAGTCCAAACCAAGCATTTATTTGACAGATGACAAAATACATCTCAGACTCTAAGGGAACATATAATACGATCATTCTGTACTGAACAAATTTAGAGCATCTTCATTAAGCTTACAATTGGACTGGTCTGTGCAAGACACCATGAAACTCTTGACTGAATTCTCTCCTTTGTTGTTTTCTTTTCCTTATAGCACCTTGAGGGGATCTCTGTCTGTCTCAGACACGATTATGTTGACTTTGTTCTGTAGGTGGATAGCTAGCATGTCACGCAGCTCTGTCAAGAAGCCTCGCTCAGTGTTGCTGTGCTCACACAGAATAACACTTATCCCATTGGCGACTGCATCCAGAACATCATGGTGGGACATCTCTCCTGCCATTTGGAGGAAGAAATGCCATGTACATCACTAACAGTACAGTTTAGGTAACCAGTTCTTTGCAATGTATACAGAATCTTAGCTAGAAGCTGGGAAAATGTAACTGGGGATATAGCCCATAGGGAGGAATGCAACACCATCTGCTCAGTGTAAGAACATGGAACACTCCTGCTTTAGTGCCCCTTGAAGGACTTTCAGCTGATACTCCCACATACAAGTACGACAACAACAGAAATTATTTCCTCTCTTTGAACAGATTCTGCCATTTGGGCAGGAAAGAGTATGAAGAGTCATTTGGAAAGTGGACTGTCTGGATGACATGTGGGTTGCTGTGATGCCAGCACAGCAATTGAGAAGCCTTGTGAAGAAGTCTGAGGGTCAGCTCTCCAGGACTGTGTGTTAAGGGGGAAATGGAACATGCCTTACCAAAGAACTTGCCTGAACTAAGGAAGGCAGACTTCACATTGTTGAGCAAGGTGTAGGGATTAGCTATCCCACTGTTTGAAAAGAAGATAATGGACTACATGTCCCTTTGGTCAGATATACTATGGGGTTCCTTTGCAAGACTCTGTAGACTACATTATATTCCATTTTCCATTAGAGAATTCTGTAAAGAACTGAGGAAATACTTCGTATCTTGCCAAAGGAGAAACACACTGAAAGTTGCAGCAGACTGCCATCAACACTGATTCTGTGTTGAAGTAATGTGTGCATAGCAATGTTTTAATTTAAATAATCATCACTATGCCTCACAGCCATCTGATCCACATTATTTCTACTTTAATGTTATTATTTTATCATTTCAATAACTGTTTCTCAATTATTACAGGCAATTATGTCCAAATCTTTCAACAGCCAGTCAACTCTTTTTTGCTTTCTTCTCTTCTAGTGACTGTTTTTATAAGGTAACAAACATAATCTTTTACCTGTGAGATAGAGGTCAGCTTCCACTCCCTTCAGGACACTGCTCCCAGAACCAGCGCACAGAGCAGTTTTCTTAACTGGTGATTCTGCAGGATATAAAGGTGTCACAGATTAACTGTGTCCTTCTGTGCAGCTCTCACATCAGTATTGCTACTGATTGTTTCACAATAATTCTATCTTGCTTTTAGGGTCAAAGTAAATTTGTTGGAGAAAGAGACACATCTGTCAGTTTGAAAGAGTCATGGGCCTCTAACATCTCTGATATCAAAAGCAAAATCCTCTGTGTGCTAAATGGATGTGTAGATTTTCTTTTTTCTTTCAAGGGGTAGGAAGGTTTGTGGAAAACTACAGCATGGAAGCTGGCTGCTGGCTAGTTCTCTCCTACTGAGGTGGTATTTAGTGAGATTTCTGAACCCTTTAATAGGCTGGTACCCTTTCCAGGACTCTCATATTCCACCATCATTAGTCTTCCAACTAATGATGCCACTAAGGAAGGATTTTGCCTCTGAGATAACTGTTTTCTAACTTTTAGCTCTCAAAAGACTATCTCAGTGCTGCTCCATGAGAGCTGCTCCATGCCATTAAAAATTTGCCCGTTTGCTATGATTGATGATTCCAAGCTATTACATGTGTGACAATGCCAGGGAATTTAATTGTAGTGGTCACACCACTACAAACCCACACCATAATGAGAGGGTTCAAAATAGTTCAGGGGGGTTTTAATGCAACTGATAGTATGAGAGTCTTCTAGTAAGACTTCTCTCCCATAAGTTACAAAGAGTTCTCAATAAATTTGCTCTCACAAATTCTAACAGCTGTGCTTCTTGGAGATTTGGACAGGTAATTGGGATATGAGGATGCTTGCTCCATGTTTACTAGTGACCCACTGTTTGAGCTAGGATAGTTCACCTTCTTTGCCACTATTTCTCTTTCATCAAAGTGTGGATGGTTATGTGTTCATGAAGCGCCTCATTATTTTAAGGTGCTTTGAAATTTTAACATTCACAGAAGGGAGAGTAGAATGAAATGGTAGTCATGTGTGTCCCAACGTCCCAGGGGGAAAAAATCTTAGTCATTTCACAAATTATTATAAAGGATGTCTCATATTCAACTTCTGCTGTCCCTTCTTCACAGTAACATCCAGCATAATCTAGACCTTCCAAGTAAAAAACACACATGAAATTCTTTTTGTGTGATTGCGTCACCTAACTACTAAACTGCTGTTTCTTGTCTTTTAACAGTGCTTCATACTACCTGGAAGTGAAACTATCCAAGACAGCAGTACTTCATACACTCATGCTCACACTCACACTCCTTATCCTGCTGGAACACTAGTGCTAACAGATAGTCTCACTTGCAGGCCTGTTTACCTAGTGTCTTGCCCATTCCCACGGCTAAGCGGATGTGTGGTAATTTTAGGTGGCTTTTGATACGCTCAGTTATGTCCAACAAAGACACTGGCTCGCTCAGTGTGCACAGACGTCCCATTCCAGTATGGGGAAGCAGAGGCTGAAAAGAAATTAAAATTACTGTAAGAAAGCTGACACCAGAACTACCCATCTCTTTCCATGTTGTCCACATATGAGTATCTTGGGCACTCAGGAATGTCTAGAACTTCGTATGTAGTGTTCTTGAATGTAACGTACAAATTACACCAGATATGGAACTGAACTAGCATTAGTGTGGGCCATGCAGCTATTTTCATTGCTCTGGAAAATGTGTGTGGCTTCAAATCCCCACAGAGCAGTATTTCAGAGCACTGATGGGACAGCATAGGAAACCTATGATGCTACTGACTACTGGATTTCAGTGTTTAGAGTGCTCAGCGCATGCAAGTAGTACATTCCCTGGAAGCAATACATTTAATTTGTTACCTTTTGTAATAAGAGAATCTCGGTCCTCTCATAAAGGCTGTTCTGGGACAATAATGCCATCACCTTCAACAGTGCTTTCTGAGAGCAGTTCAAACTGACTCTTATTTGCTCCTCACCTTCAACCCTGAGGAAAGATACGGTTGGTAGATTCTAAGAAACCAGGCAGAACTTCGGCTTCATATTAATTTAAACCAAAGCTATTCTATCCCATGGCTATTCTACCACAGAAATGAAACAAGAAAGCACTGTAATAGCCTAGCCCAGTCTAGTCTACTCTCATGGAAGAAACAGATATGGGAATTTAACTCAACTGTCCTCTTCAAATTTCTTGTTAATACTCATCTTTACCATCTCTAACCTATGTGATGCTACACAGAGTCACTGTTATCATTTAGTAGAACATAGATTGATCAGAAAGGGATCTTTATCCCTTAAGTTTCTAGGTCTGTTGCTGAAAAAAATAGCAGCAAAGCAAAAGGAGCAAAGAGATTACGACAGTAAAATACAATTCCAGCAACTTACTCTTTCAAACAACGGAAGGAATACAACATTAGAGAGTGAAGCAGATACCTGGCAGGCAGAGTAGTGAGACATGAGATCTCTTGGATATCTTTGATTTTGGACAGCACCGTGTCTAGATGCTCAGTGTTGTCTGTGCAGAATTCTACCCGGTGAGTGCCCTCAGCTGGATGGCTTGGTGCAGTTGATGGACGCAGCGGGACAGAAGTACAGGCACCTGAGAAAACAGTACAAGACTGCTGCCTTAGAAAGCTGGCCAAGTATCCTAATACCGATCTAGCACATACAATAAAGAGATACAACAAAAAGGTGCAAGTTTTGCACAGGAATCCATTTTCCCTGATCAGAGCTGAGGACTTCCTGCCTGGTTGTCTCCATTAGGCACAATCTATTTTAAGTGCAAAGCAGCTGCTGCGATATAGAATTCATTCATTCATTCTTAAGGCCATCCACTTTATCCTAAGAACTGTACAAAAGCAAAATAGTTTCTGGCTTGAAATTCAGGCTGGAAAGGACAGAAATGTTTTCATTTATGAACCTCGATACAGAATAAAAATCTTAAAAGAATTTCAGATACCCTAAGTCCTTTGCAAACAATGAGATCTTGCCCTTTACAAATTCGCGGTGGTGATTTAAAGTCAGTGGTCTAAACTTTGCAACCAAGATAACAATACTCTGCACCAGTTCTGACAACATTTAATAGTACAGTCGTGCATCTGAAAAGCTCTTCTAGTGTTTGTGTTTGGTTTTCCTCACCAAGCTCTGTTCTGTATACTTGGGATACTCAAAAGAATTCAAGATTACTAGAGGAATCAAAAAAAACCCTCTCCAAAGCATACCTGTAAAAGCTGGAAGAAAGCAAAGTGAGGAAAAGCCCGACATACAGTAGCATATACTGATTAACAATGTTAACCTGTTTGTTTGTTTAACAGAATCTCACCAAGTCCCTTTGCTAGCCAGTCATTGACTCCGTGAGGTATGGCATCGTATGCTGTATGCGGAGAGTAAATCCCAATTCTGTGCTCCAGGGCTCGGACAACCAGCCGTTCCTTCCAGGTCTTCCACGTTACTCGCTTGAGTGGTGTGAATACAGGAGGGTGGTAAGAAAGAATAAGGTCTGCCTTTTTCTGCACTGCCTCTTCCATCACTTCCTCACTGAGATCGTTAGTGAGGAAGAGGGTGTTCACAGTGTGGGGAGGACTTGGTTCCACCAGCAAGCCCACATTGTCCCAGCTTTCAGCCAGAGAGAGGGATGCAAAGTCATTCAGGGCTGAAACGAGCTCACCGAGATTCATGAGGGAGCGTGAGGGCAGGTGTCCCAAAGCACGGATGCAGCGCAGAGGGCGGTGAAGCAGCTGCGTGCCAGGCAACAGCATGCAGCAATCTGTAGAGGGGGTAAAACCGGCAGGAATAATCCCAGGTGACCGAGCAGCAGAAACCACAGCGCCGAGAACGTTTACGGTGCGACGGAAGAACGGCGGCTCCGCTTCCTGCAACTGCTGCCGGGAGGCTCCGCCCTCCTCTAGAAGCGCGGCGGGGCCGGGGCTGTGCTGTGGCCCCTGCGCTGAGGGGGTTAGGGACAGCCTCTCAGCAGCGCCGTGCCGGGGGCGGGGTGCGGCCGGAGCCTTCCTGCATGCGAGAGGGGAGCCGCTTCCCGGCGATAGGGCGCCTGGCTGGGGCCCAGCCTCGGCAGGTTTGTGCTAGGCCTCCGTATGGCCGGGCGAGGGTGAAGCTGCGGGGCGGCGGCGGAGGGCCGAGCGGGCGGCCGCTCTGCGGTGGGGATTGCGGACTCTTCCCGGCCTCCCGAGAGGGTCGCTCGGCTGTGGAGAAGCCGGGCCCCGCGTCGCGGGGATGGAGCGGCGGGCGGGCCGAAGGGAGAACGGGGTGAGGGGTGAAGAGTGAAGTTGAAGGAGGCACGGCCCGAGGCCGCTGCTGGCGGGTCTCCCGGCTTCAGTGGGAGAGAGGCAATTGCCAAGCCTGGGGCCAGGCAGGGAGGGCAGAGTACGGAGGGGAAACCGGCGTGTGGAGCTGGTGGTTCCTACACGACTGCTAGCAGAATTCCAAGTGCTTTCTTTGGAAATCGCGCTGAGGCAACGAAAAGTTTGGTGCTGTGTTTGTATGCAGCTGCTTGTCTGTTGCAGGCTGTCGGAAAGCGGCTCCAAATCACACTTCTGTTTAGGGACCGGCATGTGGCTTCTAGCTGTTCAGTTCAGACCTTCACCAAACCATCATCTTTGAGACAGCTGTGATTGCTTGGTATAAGCATACATCTTAGGAAAGCGTGGTTTTTGCCCCCCATCCCCTTTCTTTCTTTAAGCGATTTTGTTTTACGCTATAGGATAGTGTAGAACGAAAATAAATAGAACTAGAATTCTGGTTACGTGCTGTGCACTTGCGTAACATAGAACATTTATCCACAGAGTTGCTTGAATGTAAAACTCTGTGCTGTAAAATCATAGACCCACACAGATATTTTAGATCCAGTAGAGCTGGGAAAAGGTGAAAAAAATCCTAACAAATTTTCTGCATTTTCTTGGCAGGAAATTGCTGTACGCAAATCTACCTGTGCTGTTTGATGAGCAGACATGGTGAGAGCAACAATACTTTTTTATATTTTCTTTCTTTCTGAAACAGTCATCTCTTGGACAGTGAGTAGCTACTCTGCATCTCAGAGAACTGGGTGTTTTACTGTGAAGAATTTCTAACCAAAAGCTTAGGTTTCCATTTCAGTTTTGTAACAACATATTGTGAAAAGGGAAATAGGTCACTTTACATCAGTATAAGATATAATTACATTTTTGGTTCTAAGATACTACATTTTAATCCCGCTTTGGCTAATATTTGGTAATCTAGTTGTATCACAGGAGTGTTATTTGAGTTGCAAGCACATATTCCTGCTTGAGCATGTGTAACCTTCTGCACTTGCAGGCTTTTTAAAGTTGAGCAAATCAGGAAATAAAGATAAGACTGTATGTTTTGATTCTTCAACTTGGCAGTTGAGTGACGGGGTAGGTCCAGTTTGCAAACACACACTGTATCTCTGGAGTGTAAGGGTGTGAAACAGAGCTTCTGCATTAGGATGGCAAACTTGATTTGTCCTGAAACTAAATGAAGCCAACCGCTTTCTGGTGATTTCCCTGGAAATGTGGAAGCTTTGTGACATTAGCCTTGCTTGTGGCCAAATCCTGAGACAGTGGTTATTTGCAGTGGGAACTTGGTTGTGTTCTTGGTGGGACTGGGAAATGAAACTGAGTCTGCTAGAGTTTCATTGCTGATTTAATTATTATTTTCTGCCTTTTGCTCAGGCTGTCACGCTGCATACTGATGTAGGAGATATTAAAGTGGAACTGTTCTGTGAGCGTACGCCAAAGACTTGCGAAGTAAGTCGAGTTACAGGAGCAGGATTGCCTGGTGCTGAAACAAAGCAGTAGAAATAGTGAAGCCTGTAAAGGAGGAGAAGTGGCTTTTGCAGTTCATCTTTTCAGATACTGGAATAGAATCATAGAATGCTTAGGGTTGGAAGGGACCTTAAAGATCATCTAGTTGCAGCTCCTAACATTTTAAGCTGGTACAGTGCCTGTTCCACTCGTGGAACTGTGCACTGTGTCCCACTGCCTAGAGTTCTGCTGGATGTTGCTCACCAGATAAGGTTTAGTTAAGGGCCCCTGTTCTCCAAGTTCCAGCATCTGCCAAAGCATCCTTTGTCCTTAATGGGAAGTACGGCACATGGCCTGGGATTCTCAGTTTCCTTGGGTTTGCTTGCACTCACACAGATTAGGCGATACTTTAAAAGTGAGAACTGCTTCCTGGTTTGTCAGAGGTCCCTGGTTTTGCTTTCTGTGATAAACTTAACCTTAGATTGAAATCAGTTTTTTTTAAACTAACTAACAAAGCTGAGGCATGAAGTTATTAATTACAAAATTAGGTTTACAAAATAAACATGTTGGATGAAAGTGATACTTCTGAGTATGTCTGGGGCTGCTTGTTTGTTCCTCAAGTCAGGCAACCTTCTGCTGTCAGGCATTTTGTTAAATGCTCTGATCTGTGACATTGTCAAAAGAGCATATTGGCTATAATTCATTGATGGCTATTCTGTGGCAATAGTGTGTGGAATTCATGTGGTCACAGTGCAAAGCAGAGCAAAAGGGTTGGTCTTGCTGTGGCCAATGCTGTCATTTTAGTAAGAGGATACTATTTCTGTATTGTTTATTAATAGAATTTGTTTTCCTTTCCTTAGAATTTCCTGGCTCTTTGTGCTAGTAACTACTACAATGGATGTGTATTTCACCGGAATATAAAGGGCTTCATGGTTCAGACCGGGGATCCATTAGGTAAATTCTTCTGTCCGGTTCTCTCCATAGAAAAAGATACATAAAAAGAAAATGTAAGTTAAAAAAAAATCCTTATAACTATATATATTAAAACCATCAGTAAATTAAAATACAAGAATACTGTATTGTTGATGGAGCTATTTCTGATGGTATTAGCTTTCTGTGGTGAGCCAGAAATGAGAGAGAGCAGCTGTGACACTAGTTCTAAATAATGGTGCAGCAGCAAAGCATTCTACAGACTTTAGCTGATCCAGGTGTTTCCACTCAGCTATGCTGCCCTTAAAGTATTTGGGGAAAGTGTCCTAGAGAGTGTCAACTGTTTGGAAGAAGATCTGATTCAAGTGTGTGTCTGTTTGTAGTAACACTGAATTAAATTTGGGGCTACATCAGTGGTTTGTTCTGCTATGTAATGGGTGTTCCTTCTATGTTTTGTCTCTGCTCTGTATCAAAACATGAGAATCCAAGGTCTTCCTCAAACAAATTATGGGCTATTGTTTGTGTTGTAAAATGTTGTAAAAGAGCAGTATATAATTTATGGAATTTTCTGTCTGAAAATGCAGTAATCTGTTTTGGTGCTTCTTTGTCAGGCACTGGGAAAGGAGGTAACAGCATCTGGGGCAAGAAGTTTGAAGATGAATTCAGTGAATACCTAAAGGTATTTCTGTGCTCTCAATATGCAGTTATGTTTTCATCCAAGTTTTCTTTACAGGTTGGAGAATGATCAGCATTGTGTTGTGCTGTATTAAATGCTTCTTTTGTAATTGTAAAGCAAAGTCTAATCCTGCAATAGAGGGATAGAAAGCTTGTTATTAAACTAGGAACAGGCACTTCTGTACTTGGCAAGTTAGGTTTGAGGGTTTTCATCACTGAAAACAGAAGAAGAAGAAACTTGTGACGAAGTAGTTTTTGTACACTGAAGGCAAGGAAGTGATTTTTCTTTGTAAGAGAGTTTGAGGAGCTAAATGTTGACTGTGATGGAATATCTTAGCAACCATGTCCGGTTTTAATGATGGTATTAAGGCAGAGTCCTAATTCACAGAGCACTTTGTATATGTTACACATCTGTGAAAGCAAGGCTTGTTTCATGTGGACTTTTTTCCCTTTTCAGCACAGTGTCCGTGGGGTGGTTTCAATGGCAAACAGTGGTCCAAATACCAATGGATCACAGTTCTTCATCACTTATGGCAAGCAACCGCACCTTGACATGAAGTACACTGTGTTTGGCAAGTAAGTGACCCAACTGTATGCCTCCTCACTATAGTGATCTGTGATGGATCTGAGTATTTCAGGACACATGCAATGCAAATTTGGAAGCTTCTGGTTCTAAAATCTTTAAAATATTGGGTGTGTATATTTAAATGTATGTTCTTTTACTGTCAGCAGAATCAGTTGCTCCAAAATGCTGTCCCCTTTTTCTTAGTAGTAGTAGTAGGGAATTAGTAGTAGGGAGTTCAGTGGAGAGAGGTGTATTCAAAATTCCCTCAGGAATGGAGCTTCCCCCCTGACACACACGCACACACACACAGAGGGAGTTACTCCAGCATGCCTTTTAATCCCTGCCCATACAGCAGGCTTATTTTAAGCCAGCTCCAGAAGAGCCCAATACACACAGTTGCAGAGTTTACCCAGAAGCAAGAATCTGATCTGGGACGGGATCTGGGGTGGGTGTGGTAGTGACATGGTAATGTTTCTGTTTAGTTGGAACTTCCTGTTGGTCAGATTAAGATTTATGGAGTTGACAGTATGTAAACTCAGGTGAGGTTGAGGTGCATCATTATTTTAAAACATTCTGATGTTAATAGAGACTACTGATACTATATCATCCTTAAAGCAACTGCTTGAGTCTTTTGGATACTGCTTTTTCTATCTGGGAATCATGGTAATGTCTTTTTTTCCAGTTGTTAAAACTCTCTAGTGTACAAGTGAATTTGCTGAGGAAAAAGTTGCCTTTTATTAAATGGAATTAAATATTTAAAGGAAACTACTGAAATGTGAAAACATATTTTCTGCTTCTTGTTTATTGACATTTAAGTGTTTCTTTTTCTTTAAATTTTTGAGTTTGTTTAGAAGTGTGATTGAAGGTAGGCTTTTTTAGACCTCTTTCTTACAAAAGAGTAGCAGCTCTGACAGATGAACTTTGCCAGATGAACTGCCAGTGGCACTTCAAAATAGTCTTGCCCCAGTTGCAGTACCAGCAGAGCAGCATATGTGTCCCTATTGGTCAGCAGTCCAGTGTCCTAGATTCAAAGAGGTGATGCATCTGACTGAATTGAACTGTGAACAGCACACGTTTTCTACCCATTCATTACTGGGCAGAAAAAACCTGCCAAGACTTACCAGAGCTTTTTAGAGAGAAAAGTAAGAGGTATATTAGAGCAATCTCTCTTGACACTTCTGCAGCCAGAGCAGAAAATCTGAAGGTATAAACCTGTTTGAGTCATTAGATTTACACAGTTGTTAACGATTCTGTCCAATCTTGTCTTTGACTCACAAGGTTAGAAGTGATAATCTCACATTTGGAAATTGATTTTCCAGCCATAGGATTTTAGGAAGTCACAGTGAGGTTTGGCATGGCCAGCGTCTTGCTGCTGTTTAAGCCTATACTATGATAGGTCAGTCCTGCCTACCAGGAAGTGCAGCCAGGGTCTTTACACGGCTATGGTTGGTATAAAATATGATGATACTGTCATGTCAGTGGGAGTTACTTGTATAGAATCTGTCATGGATGCTTACCATTTCCTTTCAAAAGACATTATGTGCCATACATAATGTATTGACTGTGTTACTTGTATCATTTGCTTCTGAAGTCCTTGCCCTGTGACACTTTAACTGTAAAGTGCTTTGAGATATCTCAGTTATGAAATTTAAATCATTAATAGAAGGTGATTCCTGGCACTTCTGCTTTTCTTCCAGAGTTATTGATGGCTTGGAGACCCTGGATGAGCTGGAGAAGCTGCCTGTGAATGAGAAAACCTACAGACCTCTTAATGATGTTCGCATTAAAGACATTACAATTCATGCCAACCCTTTTGCTGTGTAGCTGCAGAGTGCTTCGACACATTCTGTAGGGACAGATCAGATTGACTGCTGGATTATGGGGTTTAAAGTATCTTTCAAAAGGGTTACCTGAGGTGGATCATACCATTGCTCATTGAAAACAGGATCTTCAGGAGCTGTGATGTTTAAGTGTTGTCACAGAGGAATCTGGTGTTTTAGAAGCCAGTTTTCCAGGATTTTGATTTTTAAACATTGCTTTTTCTACTGGTAAAATAAAGATGTGAAAAGATACATTTTTTTGCAAATATTTTTCTGCCTTAATTTTCTTAGTGACACTGTGTTGAAACAGTGTCCTTTGCTACAATTTCATGCTAATGGTTTCTTGACCCTTCCTCGTGTAAATTCTAGCCTTCCTTCCTTTGTTGGTATTTAGAAAAGTGAGTAAGAGACACTGTTTTTTTTCCCTAGGTGAGAGCAGTGATGTAGATAGATGAAGCCTTTCTCTCCTAGAGGATTAAAGACCGTGTTTAGAGAAGTGATTGCTCTTGTCCTGCTGCATTGAGATGGTAACCTCTTCAGCCTCCCCAAAGTGTGGATTGGAACCAGTCATTTTTGCCTCTGGCACAATGCTTTTGATAGGAAAGAGTAAGTGTCTGCATCTTTACACAGCTGTTGATCAAAACTAGGTAACCATGGGTTTACTGTAACTTGTTTTACATCACTTTATTGCACAAGCAATGGGTTAAGCACAACAGAAGAGTAGTGACAAAAAGGCTGTGGTCAGGCTTCTAATCAAAAACATCCAGATCCACCTGAAATCAGAAAAGATACCTGTGGCCAAGATGATGTTGAACAAATGAGAGAGCCGTTGTTCAGTCTTCTTTGAGACCAAATGTTGTTGAACTTGGATAATTCCGCAAGAAGGTACCGAGATACTTGGACTGTTGAGTGGTAAGGAAGAAAAAATGCATGTATACATATGTGGGGGTGTGTGTATATTGCTGATCCTGTGTTCAAGGCAGTACAGAAAGCATATAATGACTCAAGCAGGGAAAGGTGAATGATTTGTAGACATCAGAAAGGCAGTTCTGCACCTTGGGCATACTGGGAAAAGCCATGTTCTACTCTTCCTTGTTGTAGATTAAATAGCGCATTTTGGCATCCCTTTGTTTTTGTAAAGCAGGAAAAAATCAATTCCCACAGAGGTTCACTCTGACAGGGTAATACGTAGAGGGGAGAGGGCATATTTGTAGTTCCAACTGTGCGTGGCCAGGGGATAGTATCTGCATCCAATTCCTGCCATTCTGGTCTTCTCCCAGATCCTCTTTGGCCTCAGACAACATCACTTGGCAAAGTCCATTCTCATATATATATGCCTTGTAATCCTTGAGAGGTCCAGGTGCAGCTGACTTGCAGTCTGCTTCAGACCACTATTTCTCATTTGAGACTTTGCCTCCTAAAATAAAGAGGAGAAACGACTTGCAAGAGAAAGGCAAAGGCATGCCTTTGAGCATGAGTTAATCAGTACTCTGTATCTGGGACAAAGTTTCTGTGTTCCTTATGGAGTGCTGCTTAAAGCTCCTAGCCCTTGCTCCTGACTTAATACATTTTACTGTAATGCTTCAGTCAGTCAGGTAAAGGATTTAATTATTTTAGCTCTGTGCTCTTTCTGTCTCTTCCATATAACCAGTGGTAATAGCAAGTGGACAGAAGCATGCAACTGCACGTTTAACTGACAGTACCGTCATGCAGAAGGAAAGACATGCTGGAGACTTGCCTGTGATGCAAAGGAACCAATAATTTAAAATGCTGGCATCTAGCACTGAACTGGAAACCATTTCAGGTCTCCTTTTGTTTTTTTGGCTGTTTTTTTTCCCCTCCCCAAGAAGAAGGCTGTTTTACCGAATGTGTGAAATGCAGGGACACCACGCAGTTGGCTCCGGAAGATAAATTTAGATCCTTTCTTTCTTCTGTAAAGCTGTGTATTGAAAGGAGAGTGATTTTATGGGACAGGATTGCGTACTAATTTCTCAAAATTCTATTATATCTGTTTTCCTGTTTGTGGCTCTGAAACTCTCCCAGGTTCTCTCTGACAACCTGGAATACAACAGGAAAATGAATGGCGGGGTTAGTCCTTTGCACTTGTTGAAGAGCAAGCAAGATGGAGAGCAGGCAGTAGCCCAGCTGTGCAAATGTGTGGCTCTGGCAGTTGCTGGGTATGGCATACAGTTTAGTTCTTGCACTGTCAGCTGTTGTGTTACCAGCCATTTGGACTTTTGTGATGTGTCTAATCCTTTAAATAAAAAAAAATGTTGCAGACTGGCTGATTTTGTTGCTGTTGACTTGTGCTTTATAAACTCCTGTTTACTCCCATCAGTCTGGTATTTTCTCACAAACACTAGAGCCACCAGGTGAGCTCTGTCGAAATAAATCTACCCAGGCATAGAAAAAGTGTGTCCCTTAACACAGTAGTCTTACAGTAGGACTGAGATGGAGGGTCTCATCATGTGTATTCTAGATTGTCTCTGGCCTTTGCTGGCATTCAGAAAACAGTAGGTAAAGTTTGTGTTAGAAGTCTGTCATGTTGGGAGCAGTGCTTACACCAAGCTGGAGAGCAATGGACAAAAAACTAACGGTGCATTATCTATGGAGAGCGACAAAGTTGCACGTGTCATATACATGCTATGTGTTGATCGCACAGGGTCAGTTGGGGAAATAAAAACAATACTAAGAGTGAGGAGGGTCATTTATCAGAGGTGGAATTGTTTCAGAAAGTTTAGCGCTTCCCAGATTAAAAAAATGATTGGGCTTTAGGGAACTGATGTGAATAGGCTGTTGTAGTGTTTCAGGACTGTTACATCCTCAGATGCTCTTTTTGCACCTGCATGAGATTACATGAGATGTTTCATTGTTTGATGTGGGTTTGGAGGACCCAATTTCTGGTGTAATGTTTGGATAGCTCTGCTGGTGGAGAGAGGGCTGCAGTAAGGCACAGGGGAGGTGAGAGGGGTGGCTGGGACTGTTGTGTGCAGTAGTTGTGAGCAACAGAGGAAGTGTGGGTTAATCTTGCAGGTTTATGTATTTTTCTGGACAATCTTGGTGCTGTTCCAGATGCGTCCTTGAACAACCAGGAGTGCAGAGGATGATGTGAATGGCCACCTATCTGTCAGGGAGGAGATGCAGTGAGTGCAAGAGGTATAGACTATTTGTCAAAGTTTATTAATTTCTCAGATAGAGTAAGTTCTTTTAGCATAAGGTGTGAGGAGGCTCTGGCAGTCTTTCTGCCTTGTGTTGTTTGAGGGTGGGGATTGTTCTTTTTGTGTAGGACTTAATCCCTCTCCCCAAACAATAGTAAATGAAGTTAATGAACCTATGAGATCCTAAATGTGCCTTGGTGAGAATTGTCCGCTACCATCTCTCAAACTAGGTATTTACAGTTTGAAGGAAGCACAGTCTATAATAGCCTCAGTGATAGCTCGTACTCTGTTAATTTTGTTTGCTTGTAGTATTGGGTTTTTGGTGTTTTGTTGTTTTTTTTTTTCCTAATAGCTGAGTAATTTCACAACTTCTGTGAGTCAGAGTTCTTTTCTTTATAGATGAGGTTGTTGCTATTTTGGGCAATGGTGCTTATGAAAGAGTCGTGGAATGCATTATTGCTCATGAAGAGTGAGTATTGAATACAAGTAATTTTTCCTACTCACAGTGTATTCATGAAGTGCTTTCTGATCATCCCAGGCTGTACCTTTGCTTCCTCTTTTCCTGCGCCATGTGTACTTCCTTAAGGCTGCGGCTGCAGTTCCCAAACACAAGCGTCTGTTAGTACATCATGCTAAACCCAGCGCCTTGACAGGAGGGTTGTGCAGCACTGGGGGATGAGGTCATGGGTGCTCCAGCCTGGGAGGGGTCAAGGGCTGGCAGGGGGAGGTGACCTGGATGATGTGGGATGAAGCTGAAGCCCCATTCCGGGGCAGTCCTGGGGCCTGCACCGCCCACCCCAGGTCTGTGTAATAAGGAAAGTCTTGGATCTGGGGTCTAGCAGTGAGCATCTTGTAACTCAAGACTCTGGTTTGTGTTTGATGTCAGTTTTGCTGTGTGCAGATTATGAAACTAGGTTGTCTTTCTCGTGGCTGTAGAAAGCACTTGACCCCTCAGTTACTTTTTCACTACTAAAACAACAGGAGGTGGCGTGTCATTTATGACCGTGGGTCCTGTTTGTTAGGCTGCAAGATGTGGAAGTTTCCCCAGCAGTAGCCCAGCATCTATAAATACAAAGGGGAAGTAAATGGGGCCTTTAACCTTTAAGAATACAGATATATCAAGTATGTTTGCACAATTGAAAGAGTAGATTTTAGTTGTGTTTTTGCACAGATGAGCCCTGGTTACACTGTATGTAAAGAAAATAGCTTTTCTGATAAAGCTGTAGTCGCCGTAAACAACATAGATGGTGATAATTACTGAATTTCATCCTAGAATTGTGGAAATGTTTTGGGTTGGAAGGGACCTTAAAGATCACCTTGCTCCAACTTGAAACTCCTCATTGTTCTACCAACTGTTAAAACCTGTCTTTTCAGGAGAGGCAGACATGTTGCTGTGAAAACAGTCAGAAACGTTGACGGGTTCTCTGAAGCGGCTTGTGCAGAAATAAGAGTACTGCAACATTTAAATGCATCAGATCCCAGCAATAGAGAGTACACAAAGCCACCTGCACTTTGTTCTGCTTTGAGATTCCTGTGCCGTCACCTTCTGTAATATGCAGCATCTGTATCTCCTTGTTACGCACCCTCCTACTGCAACACATGCGTTTTCCTGCTTTTGTACTCAGTGTGCCCAGATGCTGGAGTGGCTTGAGTACACAGACATGTCCGCATTGTTTGAGCTACTGGGGCTCAGCACCTTCGACTTTCAGTCACTGAATGTGGAGCGCATCAGACAGGTGACATACCAGCTTTGCCAATCTGTGAACTGTATGTTTCTTTTGCTGCATTTGTTAACTTTTTGTTAAATGTGCCAACTATACTGGTTATCTTGCATACAGACCTGAATCCAGAAAACATTTTATTTCTGAGGTCTGACTCTGACACAGCAGAGTATAACCCCAAACTGCTAAGTAAGTTGCTCTCCTCTCCCTGCCTCCCCCCACCCACCGTCTGGGTTCATTTGGCCACTTGCATCCCACTGTGTTTCATTTCAGACACGCGATGACCATCAGCTAAAAATTCCAGACATCAAAATTGCAGACTTTGGGAATGCCACATATGAAGATGAGTACCACAGCCCTGTCGTGACTACTAGTGCATTCCCAGCTCCAGAGGTTATTCTAGGTCAGTAGAAGCCTGCTGTGTGAAAGATCAACCGAAGACTTATTGTATGCTACTGAAGCGTGCTTTAG